GGTAACTCGAGGACCTAGTGGTGATCTCAGGAAACACACTCACAAGTTACACCCCTACACTGATACACACATACACACAGTGCTCTTATCCACTGCAACTCACAAATCACAACTTACAAATCTCCACTATACAAATGCACGCACATCCCATCACATACAAACGCACGCAGCACGCCTCTCCAAGGCTGTAACTTGCATAATAGACAGAATGAGACTTCATAGGCGCAACCTCTCACATGGAAAGCACAGTTTATACTCTCTTACACCTTTATACATTTGCACTAACAGACATACACAGACATAAAGACATAAAGACCTCACAACTACTGCATAAGGCTGTAATATATACACAATATACACAATGGACAATAGAAACGGCTCATTGCACACTAACTCACTACACTTACTTACACTTACACTTACACTTACTTACACTTAGTACACAGTACGCCTGCGTAAGGCTGTAAGATACATGGAAGGATGGAACCCAGGGCATACCATAGCCCAGTCTGTACAAAGCAGATCAAACATTCATACAGCATGTCTACTTCTCAACATATGTATAGGGACGCTGGACCCGGTTTCCAGCAGGTGAAGCCCCCCACCAATAGATGGCCCCCCCTGGGAGTGCAAGCGGTGACTGCTCCTACCAGCACCCCTAGCATCAACGCGGGTCGTTTCTTGGAAAAAAGAAAGGAAAAAAGAAAAAAGAAAAAAGAAAAAAGGGCGCATAGGGTCGCCCCTCCGCTGCGTCGAGGCGGGCTGCCTGCAGGGGGGCTATATAAACCAGTGCAAAAAATACTACCTAGTCTGGGGGGGTCTATCAGGGGGGGTCTGCTCTTGCATGGCTTAGACTCTAGGGCAGGGTAGGGATATAAGTCGCTCCAGCTAGTCCGAGTTCCGCCTAGCCTTGGGTAAGTTAGGGGAAGGACGAAAGGATGTGTCCGTGGGCGCCAGCTTGCCTTGCCTAGGTGCTTGTGCCAGCTTATTGGGTAGACTCTCTGACTACTGGAGCCTGGAGAAGATTGCATGAGCCTGGCATCCGAAGTTCCCGTACGACAAGGTTCGTCCGCTTCTGCTTCCACTAGGGCTGGGCAGTACCCAGCCCTGGTGCTTGTCACTGCGATTCAGTCCAAGTTGCCCTCGATACTCGTAGGCTGATGGTCCTAAGTGCTGGCCACACTGAGTAGTAGGGATAGGGGATGTACTAGGAGTACGTGAGGATGGGTTGGGAGGTGGCCCGCCCTGTCAGGACAACCATTGGCTGTCTGCTGCTAGCAATCACGCGTCTGGTCACTGGTCTCTACAACACCCTGGGCTTTTCAAAAAAAAAAAAGAGAAAAAAAAAGAGAAAGCTAAATTGCTTTTGCAGTTGTTAAAACACCAGTTGGCCTGAAGCTAAGTTGGGCGCTTACAAAAAAAAAAAAAAAAAAAAAAA